CTTAAAATTCACAGGAGCCTTTTGCTACCCTTTCTTTTTTTCATCTCATGTATAGAGACAAAGGAGGTGAACACTAAAACCCACAAAGACATCCTGATTACAATCTGTAGGAGGTGAAGGCCACTGTTTCTTAACCCAGGAAAGGGACACAGCTCAAGTCAGGAGAGGGACCAGGTATGGAACTAGAACAAACCCTTCTTTTGGTCCAAAAATTTTCATTTCATGAACCACGGTATTTTACGATAGCTTTCTAAATTTGATTATTTGTTACTTTGTGAAGTTAGTCCAGATCATAACTAAAATCTGTATGCACGGTATTTCACATGTTCCTCACAATAGCAGCAAGTACGACACACTTTTTGCCAAATATAACTGAAGAAATCACAGCTGTATCCTATTAACCTTGAAGACATAAATAATGGTTTGAAACCTTGAAAATCTCACCCTAAACTCCTGGAGATTCCGCCTACTCTTCAAGGATGTGTAGTGCTTTTTCAGTTGGAGCTCCTGAGCTCTAACATGGCCCCTCAAAAACATTCTCCACCTACTGCTAAACCCCAGGCGACAAGAGGTAAGGATTAAAATTTCTCATCTTCAAGTGGCACTGAAAGATAACAAGGACATCAGAAATAGGCATTGAGACAAAACAGCAAGTGACCCTGTAAGGTTCACTGCACATTATTAATCATGTATACATGTAATACAGTGAAGCCAATATGCAGCATAATAAACCATTTTAAATTATCTCATCCATACTGAAATTGAAGTTTATTGGGCAAAACAGACCACTGTAAGCTATCCAGCATTCCTGCAAACCTGCTGGCAACACAAGACATGATGTCTTGTGTTGCCAAAATGATGACAATCCCAGCAGCACTGGGATTGTGTATGTCAGAAGAGGGCTAAGGTCACCTGTGTTATGTACAGCGTAACTATTTCTACAGCAAGGCCATGACACCATTTTTTCTTTTTTTACACCAAGCTACAGTGCCTTGCTAAAGTTGTGCAGTAACCCTGGCATCAGCCCATCAGTTGTACATGACTTTAGCTTATCTTTTTTTTCTTTTTAAATAATACTTAATAGAAAAACTTTGGTTTGCAAGTTACAAGTAATGCCTTAGATGTATTGGGTTTAGTCCAGATAAATGCTTGAAATCAATGGATTCAAATGCTGAGGCAATTTTGAAAATCCTTTATATACCTTTGTGTTTAAAATTTGTGTTTGTTTTTAAAATCTAACTCGCCTGGTTTAGTTCTTATGTACTTCACCAACAGATACATTAGAACCATCCTGTAGATCCAGTATGCTGCTATTCTGCTCATTTCACTATCAATGTCAAAATAAACCTGAAGTGCCCTGTAATGCCACAGCTTTATGTAGCAAATCATTCTAAACACTCCGTATATATGCTCAACATTTTTGATCGTTAATATAATAGGCAAGTGATTTCTCTCTGCAATCTGGACAATGTAGCCATCATCCTGCGATCCAACAAATAAAGGCAGTCCAGAGTATAAACTCAGTATCTGTGTATTCCACTTAAAGTATAGTATAATAGCTGGCATATTCACTCCTTCAGGACTCTAATCAACTCTATAAAACAGCCTACACAATTCACGGAGTTCTATATTTCTGACAGAGGACTGCAATTCATATGAACCTGTTGTGGAAAGCAGAAATTTTAAGGTATAGGAATTCCCATTGTTATGCAAACATGATTGTATGTACCTGACACTAATTTTGTATAAAATGTATGGTTACAATACTGGGTTAAAGTCCTCCTCCCGAACACCTCTGATGTGAGGACTTAGTATTAATTCTTGCTTGGAATAGCTGCAACCTCCAAGTGTTTTACAGCTATTGTGGTTTATCCCACTACAGTGAATACAGTGTTCACGTTTGCTAGGTAACAGAGAGAGGGAGGAAACAGGAAGAAAGAGGAGCCAAACCTAAATGTAGACAGCTTTCTTGCAGAACAGTATTAGCAAACAAAATGCCATGTTCTAATACCACTGACAGCATGCAGAACACTACCTACTCATTGCGTTTACCTGAATAATGCATATTCCTCATGTTCTGCCACCTCCTTATTCCAGTGGGAGAGCTAAATTAATTTGTAGCTGTAGCAACTATGCAAATAAGTTTTTATGCATTCATGCTTGCAGTGGAAGATACTAGGAACAACAGAAGTGGATATGACATAAAAGCCAAAGAGCATTATTACGTTTTGCCAATCATTCAGACTAGTATATCTCAAAAAAACCCCTACTGCATTTATATCTTATTTGCAAAATTTTTTTTTACCATATATATATATATATATATACACATGCACATTTCTTATGCACAAAAACATTTCTATACAGATGTACCTGTTATGTCGGTCACCCACCTGTGATATTTTTAATCTCCTCCAATCCTTCTACTACATATGAAAGCTAAGAGACACAGGCAAAGCTAAATAATTGGCCTCCCATGTGCAATTAATATTGTTTTGTTATAATTCTTCCTGCATTTGAAATCAACCTAGAAGCTTAATCTCTGAAGCCAGCTTTTTTACCTTTCATTGTACACACATTCCTTGGTATGCTCTACTGCTTGAACAGTCAATAGTATGCAATCTCTTCACTGGCAAATCACATTGCTAAAACATTTCTTAATACATACTTACTACGAAGCACAGCCAATACTATTAAGCCTCCTCTAAAAAAAAAAACAAACCCCAAAACAAAAACAAAGCAACACAGAACACCAGTATTCATCATATGGTTTTATTTATCAATTTGAATATTGCTATATAGATCAGTATAATTGTTTAAACTTCCGATTTGAGATTCCAACAGACCAGTGTGCATATTCAGTCAATTCCTCCAGACACTACCAACCAAGCTATCTCAGCCACTTGTAGTTGGTTTTCCATGACAATACACTAATCAGAAGGAAAAAAAAAATATATATAACAGAAACTAGATTACCACCATCTGAAATCTTTTATTTCAGTCAACAGCCTATGTTTATTACAGATACAACCCAAAAGACATTGTCATGTTAGGTACACTGTCTTTTAAATGATGCCACTAAGGCTCTCACAAAATTATGAATGATCGAATGGCATTTTTCCCATAAGAGCAAAACATGCAGCTGAAAGCATTTTAATATAGCATGTAATCAGTGAAAATTTTTCTTCAAATAGTTGAGACTGTTGGAAACTTCACTTGAAAATTAAATTGCTAGGGTAAACAAAAAGCATTTTTGCAAAAATCTGTAATGGATTTCATATGTGACTTACCAGAAACTTACAAAGTAGATAACAGTATATAAAAATTATTTTATAGGACATGTTTGCAAACAAAACCACTGAACTAGAGAAAGCTAGCTGACCACCTGGAAGCAGGCTTGACTACAGTGTGACCAAGAACTGACAGCTGCAGTCTCCGCTGCAGTTACAGAAATAATATTTCAATTTCAGTAACTAATCCACATTGAGAAACTAAAAGTGAAACCAAAAAGGAAAGCCAAACCAGTTTTCTTTTTCCATCTGAGACACACATAACCAAGTTCAGAAGTATTACTGCCTATAAAATCTAGGATCATGGTAACTATGAGAGTTTGAACTGTTCATGACTTATAATCATAACTTCTTTCACTTTAGAAACCTACCTTAATGTGACATCAAACACTATTATCATCAGGTCATACTAGATTATAAGGCTGTTTTTAGAACTGTCTTTCTGCATTCTAATTGAATTCCAATTTTCATCCAAAACTTCAGCATGTGAATAAAAGAAATTCATCTGCTGAATGTAATTTACGAACAAAAGATAAATAAGAAGTATGAACACGTTAGGCAAAATGACCATGCATCTTGCTGAATACCTACGAATTCAATAGATAAAATCGCAAATTAATGAACCTCCATAGTTATACCACTTATACAATCTGAAGAAAAATAAGAACAAATCTAAAATCAATATGTCTAAAATCCACAGGACAGAAAAGCTAGTTATACAGTAAAACCCAACTTAAATTCTACATCTGCCTATGTTGAAAAACTTTGAATTTAGTGATTATGAATCTGAAACTACAGTTCTACAGACAGTTCAAAACTGTAGTTACCAAAGTCACTACTGCAAATGAAGTTGGTCTTTAGAAGATACTAACAGCATTATGAGTGGGTTGTGTGTGTTTGTTTCAGATTCCTAAAGTACTTCCCTGTAGTAGAATCCTGCCTTGATTCCACTATACAAATATGTCTTATGCACACACTGTCATTACCCTGCAGCCTCCTACAGCAACTTTTAGAATTATGTCAAATTTTACCGCAACTTCTTCCGGTAGGATGAAAAATTCATTTCCCCTCACCAAGGGAAAAAGTAAAACCTGTTCTGTACTCAACAGACAAGCAAAAATAATTTGGCCTTAGTACTGAAAGATACAGAATGACAGAGACCTCAAAACAAAGCCATCATCTTTGAAAGGGTTAATGCTTTCCAAGTTCTGTAAGATAAAGTGTACTTAAAAAAGGAGGAATAGATTGTTCATAGAACTTCAAAACAGGAGCTTGTCGTGATAGCAATACCTAGGCACCTTACTCTAAATACAAAATAATGACGATTAAGTTCTTCCACAGAACTGGTCAGAATGCATATAGCCTTCACTTTACTGATGTCCCTCACAGGATCAAATTATCAAATTATTTTAAAAAAATAATAATCTCCTGGTTTAAAAGACAAGTGCCACATCCTTTTCATTGCTAAGACAAAATGGAAGCCATATGCTTTTTGTAGGCCTTGATGGTAGAGCAGGCACTGTGAAAACCACCTGCCAAACGCAAAAGTCACTACAGATTTTAGTTGCACAGGTTCCTCTTCTATGCAAGTGTAAGAGACCAGCCACATAGTACACTGAGCTCTTTTAATAATTTTGTCTTTAAATTTTTAATGAATTTGTCTTTAGTTGAAGCAAAAGATACTGCGATCACAAGAAGGAAGTATAGTACCTTTACTCAAGCATATTCAACTTAACGTGGGAAGTGCAAGTACTGAAAAGGAAAGATGAAAACCTCTACATGGAGAGAATACAGGACAAGAGTAAAAATAGAGGAAACCAGACCGGAGCAGAAAGACCAGGCTCTGCTCGCTCCGCTCCCTCTCCTCAACGACCTCCGGAAGGGAAGCCAGCCGGGACTTGACTTAAGGAAGAACAAGACCCTGACTTTACAAAAACAAAACAAAACAACCTACTTATTAAAAGATAGCTTCGTTAAGGCGATCTTTATGCTCTCTACGATTCACTAGCAAGAGGCTCGCACCCGCGTCTCCGCCCACGGGGTCCGGAGGGCAGAGCACCCCCCGGGGAAGGGGTCGCCGCCCCCCACGCCGTGCCCAGCGGCCCCCCCTCTCCGACAACCGGCCCGCTCCTGCCCCGAGGGCAAACGGCGGGACACAGGCCCCCAGGCATCACCCGCTGAAAACCAACAGCCCGAATTAAAAAACCACACCACGAAATGAAACCTCAAAACACCCCACTTTTGGCGAACAGGCGAGGGCCGGAAGGCCGCGCTGCCCTGGGCGTAGACCGGCGACACCGTGGCCGTTACGTGCCCAGGGGAGCGGGGCAAGGCCCCACCTCCCGCTCCGAGGGGCCTGCGGCTGACACAGGGCCAGCTAATGGGACGGGGACGGCCCGCTAGCCGCAGCCCCACAGCACCGGTG